GTTCTGAAACACTTGTATGTTTTTCTTCTAGTGTACCTTGACTAAATGATGCATTTTTTTGATTGAATATGTAAAATTTTGATTAAAATTTAAAAAAAAAATTCTCTAATCACTCTCATGTGATTACTTATGGATATATAGCAGCACACTTGAGATTTACACTGGAGATACTTTTTGTAGCTTCTTAGAATCATAGAACCATACTGCCTTGGGTAGAGCCATGGCTTGGGTTGCAAGGCACTTAAAGATCATCTTGTCCCAACACTCCTGCCATGGTCAGGAACAGCTTCCACTAGACCAGGTTGCTCAGAGCCCCAGCCTCACCTTGCACACTCAGCTCCTCAACTGAGCACCCACTGAGCCACAACAGCAGCACTGAGCAGTGCTGGAAGCTGCACTGTGTCCCAGAAGCCAGAGTGTGTTCAGGCAATGCAGGGAGGATTTGGGAGGAAGGCTTTGCTTTATGAGGCATTGAAGAAAGAGGGAAGAAAGAGAAAAAGGAAGCAGAGATCCCATGGGAGAGGATCACCAGGGCTGGGACCAGCATTGATCCAGCCAAGGGTGTCCAGGGTATTGTGAGCTCTCCACCCAGGCTCTGTGGGGGTACCTTTTTATAGGTAAGGCCATGTAGCCTCCCTGCAGCCCTGTCAGACTTTGCCAGTGGTTCTGAAAACAAGAGGCACAAGGACACCATTAAGACTCTTCTCCCATCCTCCCTGACACCACTGTAAACCTGTGGGAGCCTGCTGATCTTTTTCCTAAAAGCTTGTCTGGTGAAGTTTTTGTCATCTTGTGGCAAGCATAGAACTGCAAGAAATTTCCTGTGGGAAGGGATGGATGGGTGAATCATATGATTTCATGCAGAGGATTGGCACTGACTTGGCTGGAGATGGTGTCTTGTTTCCAGGGTTGTGGCATGGTAGCCATCGAGGATTGCCAGGGATGGTTTGTGCCCATTTCACTGCAGTGGTATTAGGGGAAGCTCTGCTGCTGGAGAGCAAGTAACACAGGATTTGCTGTCCTTGTAAGGCCATAGTGTCTCTTAGAAGTCACTGCAAAAAGTGGTGTCAGCATGAAGACACAGAGAGCAGCCAATCCATGTATGCTCCAGAGCCTCAGGCTGAAGACAGAAAAGTCAAACACCTAAGGCAGCAGCACTTCACCCAAGTATAGAGAGTGGTTTGAGGTGGAAGGCTGAATGCTGCTTAAAGTTATATTTTTAAAAGGTTTGAAGTTATTCTTCCTCTCCAGGTCTGACTTTCCAGCCATGTGATGTACTCACAGAATGTTTTTACTGCATGTGTTTTGCATTCAGTGTTATTAGGACAAAAATGGCTATTTTGAAAGCATGTATCTTATGAAATCTCGAAGCCATTCTAAGCCTGTATATGTGGCTGTCACATTTGGAAAGGAAGAGGAGGTTGAGGTCAAGTGGTGGGGAAAATCCCCCAAGCCTCCAGTACTGACATCCACCCCTTTTCTCACTTCTGCTCTGCTCCCAGCCTCTCCTTCAAGGACAGCTGAACACAATGGCTGAGCCCAACAAGAATATCACTCTATCAGTCTTCATCTTGTGCAGGCAGCTGGCCAAGTTCTTTTTGTGTCAGGGAGGCAGACTTGGTCAGAGGAAAGCCAGCCCTGATTCTGACTTTTGTGGCTGTCAGGGTGAAGACTGTGTTTTGAGGTTTGTAACCTGAAAGATTTTCCACCTTACCTGGAGATTCCCCTGGGAACTCCCAGCTGAAGACATTCAATTCTCACTCTTCTTTCCTCAAAAGGATAAAGATCTGGGGGCTGGCTATAGACTCAAAATGCACAATCAACAACTACCTACATTCTTTTATATGTTCAGCCACATTCAGTTAAGATATTAGCTCGACAAGCCTGAGCCAGGACAGTCCCTTCTTTCTGAAGACCGAGGATATTTGTTCATATACAAAGACATTCTAAAGACTTTTTATTCATTAACCTGATGAGTTCTGCTCTTTCCAACAACAAAATCTTCTCACCTGCAGCAGGTGGGGACCACCCCATGCACAGGTGCAGCTTCACAAGCACTGCAAGCTGGGATGCTCAGATCTGGTTTGCACCAGGGCTTCTCCCCACTGTGAGCAGGCATGGGACAGAGGAGTAGTGACAGGCTTCTGGGAAAGCCAGCAGGGTGCCAACCCTCCATCACATTCCTCTGCCAAGGACACTGTGCCCTGCCTCACTCCCAGCAGTTTCCAGCAGCCTTCTGCTCTTCAGGGATATTCCTGCTTTGTTCCCCAGCTATGAACTTGCAGACTTAAATCCAAGCTACACTGAACCTCCCAAGCTCATACAATCATTTTTAACAGGTATATAAAGCAACTGTAATTTACTGAATTGGTGTCTTTCTAATTGTAATATTCAGAAGCTCTTTTTCCATATAAGGCTGTTGAGTTTTTATTTTCTTCCTGTTTGGCATAGACTGTTTTTTTATTTCTCCTTTGGTTTTTTAGGGATGTGGACAGAAATGACAGCCAGAAACACACAGGTCTAAGGAGTATGTGGACATTACACATCCTAAAGGCAGTTGACAGCAAGAGTGAAATGTGACCCAGAATAAGGATGTGCCTGTAAAACCTCTGTCTCAGCCCACACTCTCAACAGCAGCACTCTTGCATGCTCCGTCCACCAGCAGCAGTCCCCAAGTGCCCAAGGGAAGGCACCCCAGCAGAATTCACCCCGTGCTCCCCACGTCACCGTTCCTTGTGCTGCTGCACTGACGAGCTGTAGGAGCAGCTCCTGGCCCAGACAAAGCAAGACCCAAGTCTCAGGCTGTGGATGCTAAATGCAAGCAGCAAGCAGGGAATCCAGTGTCTGTGGAAAAGCAAGTCACATAACTTTCTCAGGCTTGAATGAGAAAGTAGCCTAGGAAATCATAAGGAGGAATCCAAATAATCATTAGAAATAGAAGACAGCCTTGCAGGTGTTTTCAGTTTCTTGTTTTATTGCAAGAGAAGGTCAAGGGGTGGTGTAGACCACTGACCAATGATGGTAATGTCTTAGTTTACTGACCAATAAGAATTTTACTTTTCTGGACCTTTGCATACTTGTTTATAAAACAAGATCTGCAGTAATAAACCTTGCTCTACTGTTCAAATCACAAGAGACACCATGTCGTTACTACCTCACTGTCCCCAATATAGTGAGACGTCAGGATTTATAGGAGGTGACATGTTCTTGAATTTCATTTGAAAAAGAACAGAAGGGCAACAATGGATCAGGTGTTCAAAACACCCCAAGATGTCTCACATACAGGGGGCTAAACATTGTAGGCATGCAGACAATTGAGGAATTGGTGAAATAGTCTCCAAGAAAGAAAGGGGCATTCACAGCCCCTTTGAATGTTGCCAGATATTGTCCTTCCTCAGTCAATTTCATATCCTTCCCCAGAAGAAGGTTATGGCATTGCTGGACACACCTCTACCCTTTCAGCTGAAGAAATTAATGGCACGAGACTTAGGTAAAAGACTAGACTTCAAAATCCCTTTAGGTCTGTGCAGGAATCAACATCTGTGTCTCTCTAGAAAGACTGGTTGTGACAGATTATTTTGGAAAAAACTATAAAACAAACAGAGTCTCCATAAAGACATTTCAAGCCACTTTCTCTTTAAAATCTGTTGATGAGCCTTGCCTCCAACACTTCTCCATGTGTTTTATAGAACACTTGCAAAGGATCTGGATATTCCTTGGCTCACTGACAAGATGAGGCCATGATCTCCAGGCAGTCCTGGCAGCTGCTTCAGCTGACAGCTTAGAGCAGCCCATAACACATTCCTCTGTAACCCTCCCAAACAAGCTGACTGGGGGAGGGGGTTGTCCAAACTCCTACTCTTTGGACCACTTAAGGCAAAGAGTGTGCATTAAGGAGAACGGTTGGAAAACACCCCTATATGTATCATAAAGAATTTCCATTTCCTCTAATATGTTCTTAAAATGTGGGCAACCTCATAGTGGAGGTACTGGGCTTCAACCTTTTCCTGATAAATTTATTTCACTAGACAAACATACGTCTTGGAGAAAATAATTGGCCAGAAGAAAAAAGCCACTCCAATATGATACAAGCAACAATGAGAGAAGGAGTTGTCACAAGGGAAATTTCTTTATTCTTAAAGTTCAATAAGATCATCTTTGAAATCCATTAACTTACTCAACTTCTTTGAACTAATTCTACATTTTTAGAAAGTCATCTATTGCTCAATGCTAACATAACCTACTGTTCAATACTAATGTAAATAATCCTAAAAACCTAATCTTCTAGTTGTGATAAAAAATCCAGGGTTCATAGATATTTCTGGCTGAAGCAGTTGCCTGGTGCCAGGACTCCACTTAATGCTTGTCAAATTCAGATATGAGGCTCTGAATATGTGACAGCTTGTTGTGGAGGTACAGGCACCTGTTCTTCAATTCAAAGTAGCTGGGGCTACCCTATGAAGGAGAAAAAAAAATAAAAAAAATTAGGGCATGCAAAGACTTCTGCAGAGTTTACAAGATGTGCTGTGCTTTAAAAAGGCCTTGAGCCAGACTCAGCAGTAACCACGCTCTGCAGATCTGGTGTCAAACATACCTGTTGTATCTGATGATATTCTGCTAGGATTCGATGAAGCAGCATCTTCAAGAAAAAACACACAAAGAATGTTTCACTACCACCATAAAATGCAAACTTTACTAAAGCACTACAAATGCACTCCGTTTGACTCCCGAGATTTTCTTCTCTGTGAGCCACCACTCTTCTGGGAGGTTTGCAAAAACAAATCCCCAACTCCCAGTATCACCCAAGATCTGCAATTAAGCCTCTCAACAGGCACCAGAAGGAGCACATGCTCTAAGACTCTGCTTGGGACACCTCTCACCGTATGGATTGTTCTCAGACAGTTCAAACAGCGTTTTATGGGCAGGGTCTTGCCAAAATCTGACCCAGCCCAAGCAGTGTCTGAGCATATATGCCAATTCCTCAGTTTCCCTGCATCTCACTTGAGCAGCTCCAGGGAATCCAAAGGACTGCTCTGATGAAGCACAGTCTTCATGGCTTTATCCTTCTCTACCTGATGGGCTTCAGAGCCTGTGGTCACAGACTTCCATTGTTCCTGAAGCTGTGTGAAGTGCTCTCTGATCTTGTCAATCCGAGTATATAAATTTTGGTATTCCTCATACTCTGCATTGAAGTCATCCTTGTAGCGCTGGCGTTGGTCCAAGGAGACTATGGCTATGTATTTTCTAATGGAAAAATCAGACTATTTTTCTAGGAGTGTACTCTAAGAGAACATTCTGATATGTTTCTATTCCGGAAAGCACACTTGTACTGTTACACCAAGCACGTGGTGAATGTCAAACACAGACCCCCAAACTCTCAGTCAGTCACTCTGGAACTCAATGATTCTACATACAAGCTGATGTGCTTCAAGAGAATGAAGTCAGGTAACTCTAAAAATCTGCCACATTTCTATGACACCTAG